TTGACATTCCAGTTCTTCATTCTCCAGCCTGATTGTATTTATTTTTCCAGTTCCCACAGGCCTATCTGATAGGAAAGACCTTACGCTGCCATAGTATTGGGTTCCAGTGTAAATACGCCGGGCCGAGGAGAAGATTCTGTGCGCTTCTGAAATTTCATCATCACAATTGCAAAACAGTTTCTTCGCCAGTTATGACAAATGACAGCGAAGCAGGATGTGGAGGAAATGAAGAAAAGCGTGCAGAGTAACATTGACTATGGTGGTTTGATGGCACAACTTCTGCCGAATAACTGTGAGAGTATTCTTAAAGTGACCCTGTCACCACAGGGCCACTTGTAAGGGCCCATTCACACGTGTGCATTGCAGCAAAGTGTGCTACAATGCATGGCAGTACACCTGGGGCATCGCTGTGCCATTCACAATGTGTGACACACACCGTACCGTACTCTACTGCACAGCGTGTTCGCCGGATGCCAGTCACAATAAATGGCACCACAATGCACCAGGTGCACTGCCATCCATTGTATCACAGGTGTGAATGGGCCCTTACAAGTGACCCTGTGGCGCATTGTACTCTACTGCACAGCATGTTCGGATGCCTGTCACAATAAATGGCACCACAATGAACCAGGTGCACTGCCATCCATTGTAGCACAGGTGTGAATGGACCCTTACAAGTGACCCTGTGGTGACATATAGTGCATTGTGGTGCGCTGCATTGCCAAAAAAAAAGGGTCCTGTGCATTTTTACAGCTGTGCATTGGCAGCCATTTCATAATGTGGTTTGCATTGAGGTAACCTAATCGCGTATCGTAGTGAACAGCAGGTGTGAATGGGCCCTAAAGAAAGTCCACACTGCAAAGGAAGGGGCTTTATACTTATCATTTTGGCACTTTGCTGCTCCTCAGGCCGCTGCAGGTGTTCCGTAGATCCAGGTGTGTGAATAACCGCTCCTCCCACTGCGCACTATAGTTGCTGTACATCACTGCATGATAGGGGTTGGCTACCTCAGCAGTCCAGCTGTGGTGGAACTACAAATCCCTTCATGCCTCTGCGAATCATGCCTGTAGCTGTCAGAGTCTTGCAGTGCCTCATGGGACTCAACAGCTGGAGTGCTGAGATTGCCTACCCCTGCTCTAGGATGTATGAGGTGGCAGGAGGAACCACGATGGGCTCAAGGGTAGTGCTTTCGCCACACAGGGCTGGGGGGCAGCAAAGCGGTGGTGTTTTAAAAAAATGACCTATCTGTGGAAAGGTAAGTATATGTCAGGGGTAGGCAACCCTGTGCTGACAGCCCTGCCACAATACCCAAACAGTGACCACAGCTGATTGGCTGCGGTAAGCTCGACAATCGCGGAAAAGTAGCTCATACAACATTTTCAGCTGCGAGCGTTCCACAATTTTTTCACGTGAACGGTTGCCAAAATGGCCATTTTACTGGCCACCGTATTAACAAGTAATGACACTGACTTACATGTTTTGAATAGATTGCATGAACGCAAGCCAAAATGCACACTAAGAGGTGAAGGGTTTGGAGAAGGCCGGAGAAGTGACCAATCAAGGACAACATAGCTGAACGGGAAAGTGAGCTGAATTGGAGAATGTTTCCAGTTCAGCTATGTTGTCCTAGATTGTTCACATCTCCTGTCTTCTCCAAACTCTTCACCCTTTTGTGAATAATTCTGATAACAGTGTATAGAACATGATGAATCAGGGACCTTAGACAGCTGCAGCAGAGGGGGAGAGAGTAGGGTTGCCACCTTTTCTTCCATCGAAACCCGAACACTCTAGTGACGCAGAGAAATGTTTTTGGGAGAATGAGCTGCGCCTTATTTGTATGTAAATAGAATCAACCATTAATATGTAAATATCACAGTTGACACTATTTTCAGTGGGGAGGCCTGTGGCCCCTATCTCAATTTTGGTTGCCCCTGTCTGCCTGACATCTTGTGTCCGGGTTTCAGCTGCCATGAAACCCAGACACAGCATTCAAAACCCGAACTGTCCGGGTGAATCCTGGACAGGTGGCAACCCTAGGACAGAGGCTCCAGGGACAGGTCTAAGAGCAAGCCAGCTCTGAGAATCAGGTGAGTATAACCTTTATAATTGACCCAAAAATGAGCAGTTAACCCTTTCAGTGCATGGGGTAGCCCCACTGCAAGGGTCAATGTTTAATACATGGGGTAGCCCCACTGCAAGGGTTAAGAAAATTGTATATCAGGTGAGCATATCTTCTGTATTCTGGCACTTAGACCAAAATCCGCAGTTAACCCATGCAGTGTTGGGGTAGCCTCATGGGTTACTTTTTTTTTTGTTATCCAGAGTCCTGCTTTAAAAGGTAAAGACACGCAGTCATCGATTTACATTTTTACTTTGTAATTCTGGTAGCAGGTAATTGAATTTGCCTCTGAGTGTTTTGTTTATGTGTTTACAACCCCGGTATGATTCTTAGGAATTGTAAAGGACCTTGTACACGACAGACATGCACACACCTTCAATTCAACTCTATGCCAGGAAATCGATCACCTTTAAATGATAACTGATTTATTCTATTTTGACAACTGAAATGAATCCCTCCTGAGAAGAGTCACTGAAGGGGGAAGTATGATCACCTTGTGTAAATACATGCAGTCCATATAGTCAACTTACTCCTACAAGTTTACAGCTTTGGAGGTCAAACCTCTTTTCCTTCAGACGCATAGATTGTTATTTGCAATGACTTTAAAATGAATAACTTTAAAGTGACACTAAAAAGGAGTTACATCTTAAAAATGCATGCAGGTACCTTAACTATTAACAAAAATGTATCTTATTTGTGTATCACTCGGCTGTAGATCCTCAGATCATCTCTGAATTGGTGCTGACACTGTCCTTCCTTCTGGAGGGTGGCTACTTTTCTTCCCCATGGTCCCTGTGTGTGTTGTAACGTACAATCTCAATACAAGTTAGTAAACTAAACTTGAGATTGTAGTCCATCACAGGAGCGAGAAGGAAGGACAGTGTCAGCACCAATTCAGAGATGATTTGAGAATCTACAGCCATGTGATACACAAATAAGATACATTTTTGTTAATAATTAAGGCATTTGAATACATTTTTAAGATTTAACTCGTGAGTTTAGAGTCACTTTAATATCAATGCACATGACAATGGAGCGATGTTTGTGCAAAAGAGGTTTGACCTCTACACACAAAAAGGCTTCTTTACATTAAAAGCTTTGAAAATGTATTTTACAGGAGCTAGTTCTACTCAAATCAATAGATTGCTTTGTTAAAAAGGCTACATGAGCTTGCTAATGCACAAAATTGAACCAGCTACTAATATTTATAAGGAATTACAATGTAGATTGTTTGTCCAGTCAATGTCTGAGTGTCTCAAGAGCTCCGGAAGGGTTTTCTCTGTCTCTGAGCAAATTAGATCAAGATTTATATTTAATTTTTTCTAACTCTTCCCCAGTTGTCAGTTTATAGCTCTAAAACACAAGTGACAAATGACTATAGAATTCAAGAGCTGGTCTGCCCAATCCAGGGCCAGCCTGTCCTATCCACCATCACCTTGTGTAAATACATACAGTCCATATAGTCAACTTGCTGCTACTAGTTTACAGCTTTGGAGGTCAAATCTCTCTTCCTTCAGGCACATAGATTGCCTCCCTAGTTATTTGCAATGACTTTAAAATGAATAACTTTAAAGTGACACTAAACTCAGGATCTAAACCTTAAAAATACATTCAAGTACCCTAACAAAAATGTATCTTATTTGTGTATCACTCGGCTGCAGATCCTCAAATCATCTCTGAATTATTGCTGACACTGTCCTTCCTTCTGGAGGGTGGCTACTTTTATTCCCCATGGTCCCTGTGTGTGTTGTAAAGTAGCCACCACTCCAAGCTCACTCCTGTGATGGACTACAATCTCATGTTTAGTTTACTAGTTTGTAATGAGATTGTAGTCCATTATGGGAGTGAGCTTGGAGTGGTGTCTACTTTGCAACACACACAGGGACCATGGGGAACAAAAGAAGCCACCCTCCAGAAGGAAGGACAGTGTCAGCACCAATTCAGAGATGATTGGAGGATCTACAGCTGAGTGATACACAAATAAGATACAGTGACAACAACCAGAGAAAACCTCAATTGTTAGGTGTCGGCCGTCATATTGAAGGAGCTCTGGTATCCCGGCTCCTGGGATTTGTCAAGTCCTGGTTATGAGGATTCAGTTTTTTTTACTTTCTCTTTCGGTTAAATTTGAGACACTTTTTTTTTTCCTAAACCTGACTGAGGTTCTTAGGCAATGCTGTACTGCCGTACTATAAACCTCCCTATGCAGGTAAGGGTTGTCTTAGGATCCTCTAGTAGAATCAACCCATATTATTTATCAATGTTTTCACCCAACATTCACACGCCTTCCACCCAAGATTCAATTAGAAGTTGTTTTTAACATGCCCATACAAGTGCAAAACTCATTTTACGACTGGTACCTATATCCATTACGGGTCACGGTGACTTCCCCGCCAGGTAGTCGTCCCGCTAAACATTATTCTGGCTGCATGGAAGATGCAATAGTTTGTCCTGCCCGGTTGGAGTGCGTATGCAACTCTTCCAATGAATTTTCCCCCATCCCTGCACGACACGGACTGATGTCACCTAGATGTGACAGTCACCTCTTACACCCAAAGCACGAACTAGAGAGAGTCTGTTTCCTTTCCACGTCGGGCAATTGTTACAAAATTGTTAAAAGTTACATTTTTTAAAAAAAGTTTTCAAAAATTGGCAACTTTTTACAATTTACAAACTCGATGGCGCGGCTGTGCATGCGTGTGTACAAAATAAGAGCGTTTACCAAACAATTAAGAGTGTCAACAGATGGAATGTTATTACTGTTTCTACTTTGTTACTTTCTGTTGATACTCAGTATAAAAAAAAGGAAGTGGCAGCGTCTACAGAAGCCAACACAAGGCGATTAAACGTAAAAAATCTGCAAAGTGGAATGACACCTTACCTGGTGCTGAGCTCAGAGTACACAGGCGGTGCGGCCACGTTAAGCCATGACTTGCAGAAGGAGCCTTTTTTTTTTGGTAAATTGTAAACACAGCTGAGGTTGGAACACCGCTCGCCTCTCCTTTGGTACACCCAGTAACAAGTTTGCTCTAGCCTGGGAAGTGAAGTACCTGATTTTATGAAGTGGAATCTGAGAAGACTTCCAGTGATGTCAGCAGCTTGTCTCAAGACAGAGCCCCAGCCCTGCACATGTTGTGTGGCATGGTAGTGCAATCAACACCCAGCAGCGGAGGACTGACACACACACACCTGGCTGGAAGGAAATAGCTGGACTAGGAATGTGGGTGATCTGAGCTGCTCTGCAACCTCTTGTAACTATTTCATGACCAAGACAAACTCCACTGTTGTTTTTTTTTGCCTATCAAAGCAGCAGCTTGCTCCTGTTAATGAATGGCTAAAGTCCATGAAATCATTAATACATCATTAAATGTGTTTTTTAAAGCAAGCAGCTGGATGTCATTTGGTGTCAATCACTTGCAGCCCCTGTACAGCAGTGCTCACACTGGGGGAGGGAGAAGCAGCACAAGGAACCAATTAGTACACAAGCTGAACTCTAGGCATGTATTAATGATGTATGCCTGTGCAATAGGGACCTTAGATTGTATGCTCCTTGGGGGCAGGGACTGATGTGAATGTGCATGTAAAGTATAATAAGTAAATCAAATTTGTAATCAGTTATATATTATTAAAAGAGAACTATGGGGTAAGTGTTTTTCCTCATAGTTCTCTTTAGAGTCACGGGAGGACATAAACTAGCATCCTCCTGTGACCCAAACCTCAGTATATAGCGGGCTACTGCCGGCAATATACCGAGAGCGCAGCAGCCGGGACGGATCCCGGCAATACTGTTGAGATCCACCTAGCTGCGTGAGTGACAGCTGGCTCTGCCTATCTAGAGGCAGAGCCAGCTGTGCCCACCCCCTCCCCTGTCTGTCCCTCCAGTCAGCGCTGGAGGATCGTAGAGGGGAGGGGGGAATCCCTGCGGGGAGCGGTGACTGACAGTCACCACTCACTACAGGGAGACGATCGGGAAGTGAGCGGATCGGTGCATGTTTCTGCTCACTTTCCGATCTATAGAGCCGACCTGTGACAGCTTCTTTGTCACAGGTCGGCTCTAACTATGAAGATGCGTGGAAATCACTCACCTCATAGTTCTCCTTTAAATCTATAATTTATAAGGTTGAACTTGATGGCCCTGTGTCTTTATTCAACCTCAAATACTATGTAACTATGTCACTTTTTTTTTTTAATGCAAGCAGTGTAAGTATCTGAGTGTGACATGGTATCAGCCACTTGCAGTCCCTGTGCAGCAGAGCTCACACTGGGGGAGTGAAAAGTAGCCGATCAGTTCACAAGCTAAACTCCAGTCAGATATAAAAGACTAAAATGAATGCAGTTCTGTATTCATTAATAAATCATTCATTTTATTTGTTAAATGAAAGCAGTGTAAGTAGCCGAATGTGACCTGGTATCAGTCTCTTGAGGCCCCTCTATGTAAGAGGAAAACGCAGTACAAATAGCCAATCAGGTTATGTCCCGATAAAAATGCATGCTGATAGGAGGAGAGAGGCCAGCGACAGAAAGATGAGCTCATCACTGTGCTGCATCTCTTTTCACTGTCCAGTCACAGGCTGGGGGCGGGTCCAGGAGGACCTGGGCTCAGAGGAAGTGGGTTGAATAATGCTGGCTGTCCTTTAGGGCCCGGTCACACCCTATCCAGTGCGTTCCGGTGCGGTTTGCACCCGGAATGCACTGGATCATATAGATCAAGCCGGGCAGCCTTCCCGGGCGGGAGGGGGCGTGTCAGTGACATTCATCTCAATGGCACTGCAGACACCCCTCCCCCTGGGCAAGTGGCACCTCACCCCTCGTATACGTAGGGGAAAAATACACAAAGCCGGGGTTTTCATGGTGACAGAGACTGAATATAAACTACATAATTATAACAAAAATGTAAAAAAAATTATAATCAAATGTTTTTATTGCTAGATATATATATTTAGAAATCATAAAAGTAAAAAAACAGTGTCCTTCATGATATGTGAGCAGCCTAGTATGCACCAACTATGTAACACACAACAGAAATGATAGTCCTTTTGGGGTCTGTTTCCAATCCACAGATATTCTTTAGAATTTCAGGACGTATCGCAGGTAATTGTATTTGTCGTGCGAATCCGGTTATACGTATTCTCAACGCCTTTCGATGGTATTTGCTTCCCCTGGAGAAAGGCTACGACATATTCTACTAACAATATAAACTGGAAAAATACTTCATAAATCTCTGCATCACAATGCATTGAGTAACCATAACAACATATCATATATTCCTCATGTATTTAATTCTGAGCCTGCTTACGTCATGAAGCACAGAGACACCGAGACCAGGCGTCCTGCGTAGCCCACACTGGGGGGGAGGCCAAAGGAGGGATAGAGCTTTAAACAAGGATGTCATCAGCACACCAGCACGACAAAGTGTGCTGATGACATCCTTGTTTAAACTTCTATTGTGTGCGGCGCCATCCGTGGTCATTTTCGAGCACCCATAAACCCATTGGGATTTCCGCCAGGGGCGTATCTGCCGCGAGGCAAACAAGGCATTTGCCTGGAGCGGCAGATTCGCAGAGAGCGGCACCCCGAATCCGCTAAGGAGTGCTACAAGATTCATGGACACAGGCGTATTGGATGGCGATTTGTCAATAAAGGACTTTTTGCTTCAAAACTTTTGGTGTGCTGGTGACATTTCTTTCTAGCACCCAGACCAGGACGCAGCAAGGGAACCAGTCCAAAGTATCTAAAAACAGCACACAGTATACCATTGACCTTGCACATCAACACAAGACTGTCATAGACACAAAGTGAGAGAGGGAATTGTTTGGGAAAGTGTTAGTTCAGTGGTCAGGTTGAGGTGGGATAAGCTTTCCTGAAGAGATGAGTCTTTAGGGATCGCCTAAAGGCAATCAGAGTAAGAGATAGACATACAGGTTGGGGTAGGGAATTCCAAAGGATAGTTGAGGAGGGAGTTAGAGAGCAGGAGGTCAATGTATAAAATATTTAATGATCGAACACAAATGGTAACATCTGTGATCTATATAATTCCATTAATGAAATGGTAGTGAAGAATTTGTCTGACCCATATAAAGGGGAAGGAAGCCCCTTCCACACAAATATATGAAAATGCCCTCAAGGCTAAGAACTGGTCCAGGGCAGGTAGCAACTGCAAGGAGAGATTCTTTTTCCCCCGGAGATAGATTTTAAATGTTGTAACTTGTAATTGTTACTATAATGCTATAATCTTTTTTTCTAGAATAAGTGGGTGCAGTGGCGTAACAATCGCAATAGCGACCCAGGGGCCCGGCCAGGACACCCCTGATGCCGTGCGGGCCGCCTCGGTCGCTATGGCATCTCATGCTGCTGGCTGTCACTGGCAGCTGTGAAGAGGAACTCGTTGCTGTTCAGATCACTGACACAGCCACTGCTGAGTCACTCTGAGCCAGCAGCGGCGGTGGAGGAGGCTGGACCCGGCAGTGGAGGAGGCTGGACCCGGCAGTGGAGGAGGAGGCGGGGCCTGGGGTCGGCAGCAGATGAGGAGGCGGGGCCCGGTGACGGAGGATGAAGCAGGCCGGCGACAGAGGAGGTGGCGGGGCCCATCTTCAACATTGGAGGAAGAGGAGGCGGACAGGTAAGTAGTGTAACCAGCCCACCTGAGACCCTGCAGAACCCACCATAGAGAGTCACCCAAAGGTGGGCTGTGTGGGATCTCAAGTGGGCTCTGCAAGGGGTGTAACTAGAAATCACAGGGCCCCATACAAACTTTTGCTATGGGGCCCTGTGATTTCTAGTTACATCCCTGAGTAGGTTTAGCCCTAAGAGAGTCAGAGTCAGGTTAATACATAGTAGTCATAAAGTACCCCTATGGAGCTGCAGGTGTAAGGGGGGCATAACAGGTGCAGTCCAGATCCAAACGACGGGTTAGGTTAATACAGAAAACAGAAAGGGAAAGGTTGCGATGGTCGATTGGTGGAGACGGAGGGGGGATCAGGCTGGACGGCATAGGATAGGTGGGCTAACTTTGGTTGGAGGAGATTAGGGGAAGTCTTTTTAGAATCAAACAGGTAGGAAGGTATTTTGTGGTGGAAGAGCAAGGGGAGAAAGTCCCACTCACCCTCCCATTAGAAAATACGGGTTGGTAGCTGTTTCTGATAGTTACTTGCCACCAGTGTGGCCCAAGAGAAGGGATACATGAGTTTTAGCCAGAGTTGGGGTGAGTGCTGGTTTATCTGGGTATTCAAACTCTGCATTTGCATTGGCCAGTGGTGTTTTTTGTTTTAGGTCTCTATTTCGGAGGGGCAGATCCCTGGCAGTGCATCATTTCTACAATCAAGGAAGGAAAAGAGACAGAATTTATGGAGCTGGAGATGGAGTTGCAACTGGGATTGAATAGCTTCAGTAGCCGGGAGGAGTATTGAGGAGAATTTATGGGCGTACCAACTGGGGCTCTGGTTAGTACATTGTTATGGGGTAGTGATAGATCCCTCTGTAAAAGGGGGTGGTGTTTCCCCCCCAGTTTTAATTTGTTGCACTCCATGATAAGGGTTATTTGGAATAGTTTAAGGCTGGTGTCACTAAATGGTAGACCATGGTCTGGACACGGACCAAACGGTGGTTCTGTGTAGACTGCGACCGCCAACCAGCACTGGTTATGGTTGGCTGACAGTGGATACAGCCATCAAGTTCCAGCCATAACCCCGTGCAGGCCCCCCTCAGCTTCAGTCAATGTTTGCTAAGATCGCTGGCATCCTAGCAACCAATGTTGTCAGGAAGGGCCTGCTCTAGAGCCACCCAGATCACTTGTATTAGGCTGCTATTGTGCGCCCTCCCTCCCTGTACCCCCCACCATGGTTTTCAGGGCCCCTGCTCCTCTAGGTGACTGGGGACCATGGCAGACAGTGTAAAGATGCAGAACGGAAGCAGACCAGGGAATGTCTGTCCCCTGTCTGCTCTGTGCTGAATGAAGCAGGGAGCGCTGGGCTCTCAGCACTTCCTGCTACAGAGCTGTCACGAACGTGGCTGAAGTGCCGGGTAAATAGATGATCACGCACATTCCTGTGTTTGATCATCTGTATTGGAGGGCAGGAGAGACATCAGGGGTCTAATAGACTCATACAAAGAACCTGTCACCTCCAAATGCTGTCACATGGGGGTTTGTTATCCCCTTTGTGATAGCAAAAGTAAAGTGGAATAATAAAATAGATACAAATTTAAAAAAATTACATTAAAAGGTGATAAAAAGTTAAAAAAATGATTCAATAAATAAAAACTAAAAGTTAAAAGGTGATCAAAATAAGTAAAAAATAATAAAATAAATAAAAATCTAAAAATTAAAAGGTGCTTAAGAGTAAAGAAAAGAATTCAATAAATAAAAATGTAAAAAAGGTGATAAAAAAATGTTACAATAATAAAATAAATAAAATGTAAAAATGATAAAGGTTAAAAAAAGTAAAAAATTATAAAATAAAAATAATTTAAAACCAACCCTGCCGCCTCCACCATCTGATTTGAATGAACACATGCAAGCAAGGCATGCACGTGTATGTAAACGGGAAGGGAGCAGCGCATCAGCACTCTGCCTGGGAACACACACCAGCAGCTGTCGGTTGTAGTGCAGCTGCTGGTGTGAATGTAGCCTAAATGGCGGACTGTGAGTTTGTGGTTCAATAAAATTGAATATTCTGTAAAACTTTGCAGCATTAAAGGGCCTCTGATGTATTATGAGAGATGATGGCGCAGCGCAAATTCATTTTTTACTACTGAAAAGTACAAACGCTTTGCACTAAAGAAGATGTATTTTAGAATCTTTGTAGGTACATAGTGAATATGACACATTTATCATTATCGGTGCCGATACCAAGTATTTGGGGGAGAATAAGTACTCGCCCAAGTGCACTGATACCTTCCCCGATACCGGAACTTCCGGTCAGAGGGAGATTTCCTCTGACCGGCAGTGATGTAGGGGAACATGGAGCCAGCTTCCTGGGCAATCAGGAAGCCGGGTGGCGAGTAATGACTCGTCTCCCGGGTTCCTGATTGGCCCGGGATGCCGGCTCCATGCTGATTGGCTGGGAAGCCGGCTTCCCAGCCAAGCAGCAGTGAGCCGCCTCCTTGCTGATTGGCTGGGAAGCCATAGTGACTGGCTATAGTGACTGTAGCTGTCCAGCTGACATTTGTCTGGAGATGGAAAAGAATAACCAAAGCATTCGTACAATAAAGGATACATAGGGGTTGATTTATAAACATTTTGCAGGGGCATTCACCTTGAATATCTCTAAACAATAATTCTGTGCGTATATATGTACAAATTAATGTTCTTTCAATTTTTTTTTCTTTACAAAAGCAACCAGTTCCAATTGTTCTGCATGTAATGCCACATTATGACCACTAGTTAGTGCTAAAGGAGCACAGGAAATAAGTATTAATTTTCTCTGCTCCTCTGCTCCATCTAGTGGTCATAATGTGATATTACATAGCCATAGATTCCAACCGAAAAGAAAATATATCAAGAACATTCGCTTTGGCTCTGTCTGCACAGAACGGACATTTGCCGATATTCTCAGGGTGAACAGCTCTGAAAAGTGTTCATAAACCAACCCCAAAGCATCAAAGTATCAGTGTTCATTTAGGCAATACACCTGCCAACTCTTAGTTATTTAACCCCTATGCCTTGCAGCTCTTTTACAGATTGGGCATTCTACAAAACAATGAAGATAAAACAATTAGAGTGCTGGTGTTGTGAGGTTTTGTGGGAATTGCATTTTATTCAATAAAAGGAAAGGTACTGATAAACAGATTAGTGGGATTGGTAAGCTTATCATTAAAACTGAATTCCGGGATAAGTAAATATTGTCCTAATACAAGAGTCCTGTGTATTCTTCCTGAAATCTTGGTGTCCATTATGTATTTCCTCTAGATCTGTGCAGTAATCCAGTGTGACACTTGGAGCTTCCTTTAATAAAGACCGGTCACTGCTGATCTCTCTCCTTGTGCAAGGTGACTGGTCTTGTCTCCGCCCCCTCCTGTAGTCTTCTGCTGGCAGCCTGCTGTAGGAGGGGTCTGCTGGGTCCCTCCCACAGATCTGCTCTCTGCACAGTCTTTGTGCAACACAGCGATGATGTCACCACCAATTTAACAAGGTAATATTTGGGTTTCAAAAGGTGTTTGGGGCATACAAAGTGGATTTATATCCTTTTTGGCTATAGAGGAACATTTTTAAATGAACAATTTTGTTCCTAGGGCTCAGCTTAAAAATTTGACAGGTACAAGCGTATGAAATTTCCATCTGCCAAGCACCACAATGCCAGCACCAGCGGGCCTACCCGCTACATCACAGCTAATTAGTCAATATGCTAAATACTGTATGTATATGTATATATATATATATATACACACACACACACACATACACACATGAACATAGGTATATACAAGGACAGCGTGCATGCAAATTAGCTGTAATGAAGAAGATGGGGCCTTGCAACACATCAGCCTTTGATGGCCCATCTCTCCTGTTATGGAATAAAATAGCAATGTTAGGACTTCACAATGCTCCTGCACTATATGATGTGCCTGCAGATGAGCCTTAGGGCCGCCACTGACGTTAGATAACAGCATCTCAATCCCTGATCCAAATAGGGTTGCCACCTTTTCTTGAAGCGAAACCCGAACACTCATTCATATGTAAATATCACAGTTGGGACTATTTTCAGTGGGCAGCTAGTAGCCCCTATCTTAATGTGAATCCTGGACAGGCAGCAACCCTAGATCCAAAGCATATGGGGCACCAGATGACTGAGGCATCTTATGGGGAGAAGCAAACTGACATGTGACACTTCTAGGCATTCATTACCTCTTATATAGATCACAGTACCCCCTTTGACAATACTTTCATCTGCTTTTCTCTCCAGAAGGCCAGAGCCATTTTGTTCAGGCGTCATCCCAGGTCACCATCTAATTCCTGGACTGAGATGCTCAGAGGTGGCACAATCATGTGGATTCCGGTGCCCATGCGGTTCTTGGCTGTGTTCACAAATGTCTGATCTGACACAGATCAGCCCCTGCTGCAGCCTCTCACCTTGTGACTTCCTACAGAGTTACTATGTTTCAGTCTGTTTGCTGCGGGAGAGGAGACTGAGGACAGGCTTCCTCCTGCCTGCAGCAGACTGATGACCTAATTTCAGACTGGGCAAAGTCACCTGACTGGAGCTTGAAGATTGATTTATAATGATAAAATTGAATTTCCGGGAGGGCTAGGCAGGGCTAGGCATATTCTGGCCGCAGTTTGCCCACCTCTGGTCTACGGTGTCCTTTCAACAGCGCAATGAAGCAGCTCCCTCAGTTAGCCAGCTGTTGAATATTAATGAGCAGAGCCAAGAGCCTGAGTTTATCTGATAACCAAATGCCGTGCAGTGTTTTCAGAATGGTGGCCTGATACTGCAGCTGATAAGCGTGTTTGTGTAACCTTGTAATGCATACCTTGGCTTGTAATACCTATAGCCGGTGCTGCTCGTTCCCATACTACCCACTGCTAAAACTGCAAACAAAGAGTCTTAATCCAGACACAACACCGCACCGGCTACTGTGACATTGTAATATTTACACCTACACATTATACAGTCTGCTTGTGGGAAAACGTGCTAATAAACAACCTGTTTTTATTACCCCTGCAGCTAAAATTAGACACCAACGTAAATTGGCATCAGACATCATAGTGACTGTTTTACCTGCCAGTTTGTGAATCTGCTCAGCCAGCTTTGTGATTTAGCCCTTCCCCACCAGACAACAATCCCCTGAGAACATCTGTGAAAGTTCGTTCTGTGCAGAGGTAAAAAATGAACATTCTGAGAATATTTTCTTTTCAGGTGGAATCTATGGTCATGTTATATCACAACATGGCCACTAGATGGAGCCGATGAGCTAAGAAAGAATATTCTTATTTCCTATGTCCTCTGTGTGACCTTTTGTGCAACAGCAGCACAGCTTGGTCTAGAACCTTGGTTCTCAACTTGTGGGCCGTGACCCAAAAGTGGGTCGTGACCCCGTGTTCAGTGGGTCGCTGCATGTCTTCCACTTTTCTAGGCAAAAGGCTCCCCAGCCTCCCTCTAGTGCAGCACTGTCCATTCTCACACCGAACAGCCATTCAAAATATTCTGCCCGGCACTGAGTGCCAACTTGGGGTGGGCTGGTGGTATGGCCGTGAGGGAGCCCCATCCATATGTGCATTGGTTACAGCTCCCTTGCATGTCCTGAGGGGTTCCTGGACTGGAGTGACATCACATTCTGGCTCCCGACACCTCTATAGGTGCACATGGGATGGATGGAGCTCCGTCACAGCACAGCAGCTCACACTGCCGTGCATTCCATTGCAGTGCAACTTAGGTTGCGACTTAATGACCGAGGACAAATGTGGGTCCTGAGGTTACACAGGTTGAGAACCACTGGTCTAGAACACACCCCCAGGCTGCTGATTGGGCAGCAGCACACTGATGAAGGCATCCCTCTGCTTACTCTGCAGAGCCTGTTTGGTTCTCAGTGCTGGCCTTGCACACCACACTGTAGTTTGAGTGTACCTACAGCCAACATTTTATTTATAAAGCGCTGATACTAGTAACATAATCATTTTTTTATAGTTTGTTCCGTATGGAGTAGGGAATTGTTAATTGTTTCACTTTTGCTGCCTGTGTCCCATTGGGGTAGCATTCCCCTCACTGCCACTTCCAATGACACAAATATTGGAGTTTCTATCACTCAATGGTAACCGGGGGGGAAATAAAAAGGGTAAATCCATTGGCAGATTATAATAAGGGCAAATATGGCAACTGCCTGAGGCACAGGATTCCTGGGGGGGCCCTAAAGAGGGGGGGGGGTGCTAAAAAAAATGTTCAGCACTTCAAAGCTCTGCATAAAGGTTTCCTTTTGTATATAAATATCTAACAATAAACTTCTCTTGTTTGCTCCCTTCATTGGAAGCTGTTTTTATATACAGTATCTGTTCAATAGGTGCTAAAAAGAAATCTGTTGATCGTGCCACAAATCCAGTGAGCTTGTCACTTCCTGTGCTCTCTGCATTACTTTCATCCTTGCCCAGTTTTAATTTGTGAACTATAGAACACCTCACCGTTATGTTATAAAGAAGAGGCGAGTGATAGGTGTTCTATAGTGTTGCCCTAGGGTGATACAGAATGGTGAGTGAGTGTTGTCACCACTACGTTACAGAGAAAATATATAATTTGCATTTATATTATAAAAAAGTATATACATACAACTTGGTATGCATATAGTAAGGGGGAAGGGGGACAGGCTCAACTGGTAGTGGCAGTGGTACCACAAAAACCGTAGACAAGACAGGGACATCCAGGAACAGTGCAAGCAGGTTTGTCTGACACTTTTCTTCTGGCACCCAGCAGCAGAGAGAGAGAGAGCCCTGAGCATCAGTCAGCTCACATATACAGAATATAAAGGCTTGTGGACAGCTGAGACTAATAATGAGGTTTGGCTACCAGGTAAAATGTGGATCTAGGGATAGAGGCATCATCCCACCCAATGCTCTACAAAGCATTGTAGAGCATTTGGAGATACATCACAGTAATGCAGCTTTAGGCACCAGTTACATGGGACATCCAGACAAGGGATTGCAGCACCACTTGTTGATTCATTTAGTCCTTTTCAATGCATGTACATATTGGAAGGCACTGACTGACAGGTTTGCACTTGAAGAAAAGTGCCGGACAAACCTGCTTCCACTGTTCCTGGATGTCCCTGTCTTGTGTATTGTTTTACTTCTACCACTGCCACTACTAGTTGAGTCTGCCCCCCTTACTATATGCATACCAAGTTGTATTATGTATATAGTGTATACATATATATGTGTATATATATGTGTATATATATGTATATATATGTTGGCATTTTGCCCGTTCTGACAAAGCTGATTTCCCTACACACTCCCTCACCTCAGGTAAACCCGAAACTGGTTTGTTTATTTCTTCATACATCCTGCAGTTTGAGAACATACTATAATTTGTTACTTAATGAACGAAACTGAAATTCTTTCACACAGAAGAAACAGAGAAATAGATACAACACCTTACCAGACCCTCACAACTGACATCTTTTTTTTGTATTTGTTATTTAAGGAAAGTGCAGTAGAGCCTAAAAACGGGCGGTATCTGCATGTCTCATTTCGGTCCAGGGCCACCATTGAAACTCATGGAGCCCCTCTACAGGCTACTTGACACACCATAATTTGAGCATCATGATCTGCAGCACTGAGGACTACCCAACCCTGGAGAAGAGGTAGAGGACCCCTCTTGTCATGGGACTGGCCAAAAAAAAAACCTGAAATGAAGATATGAATGCAAGATATGAATGCAAACAAAATGTAAAAAAACTAAAGGAAAAACTTTTTGTTTTAGTTTTGGATACAGTGGTGAGAGGTTAGAACCCCTTTCATTGCTGTCCATGTTCCCTCTGCAGAGATCCACCCGATCCACCCTCCCTGTTTGTACTGGTGACCATTATCACCAGAACGTTTGCTCACTTTGGGAAAAAATTTCTTCTTTCCTTCTGCTGTGTCCATTAGAACATGACATTAAGGGGAATCTCCCCAATGTAGCACACATAGCAAAAATAGAGGTGTTCTAACTAGAGGTGCACGGAAATGGAAATTTTAAAACCAAACCGAAATAAAAAAATTGTCAGGCCGAAACCGAAAATGTTTTTTATTTTAACTTTTTCACATTTTTGAAATATTTTAAAAAAATTTTAATAAACTTTTTATTTTTTTTACATTTATTTTTATTTATTAATTCATTTTTTATTAAATATTTCTATTTTTTACTTTACTTTTAGGGGCTTTGGGGAAATATTAGGGGTCTAAACAGAACCCTGATATTTCCCTTTTAAAATAGAAAAAGAGATTGAGGACATAAAGTCCTCAGAGACACAAAGTCCTCAATCTCTTTTTCTGCAGCCCCTGTTATCAATGAACAGGAACCCTCTATACTGAGTGCTCCTGATCATTAATAACATGAGGACAGAGTATGTTTACTATAACCACAACTATGAATGAGCAGGAGGTGATGTAGATCACTTCCCATTCATTCATAATTGAGGATATAGTACACATACTATGTCCTCAATTATCTACAAACACTCAGCGATCACTGATCGCTGAGTGTTTGTACCGCTCTCCTCTTTGACAGCTGTCACAGGAGGCTGAGTGAGCGGTGCAGGGAGGAGAGCTCAGCCTCCTGTGACAGCGCTGGCTGTCTCCGCCCCCACACCGCTCTGGCGGACTGTGATAGGAGGCTGAGCGGTGTGGGAGGAGAGACACCATTCGCTCACATCGCTCTCCTCCAGCTCGGCCGGCTGTCCCACTTTCTCTCCTCCTCGCTGGGACACAGAACAGCGCCCAGCGGGG